ATGGAAATGCTAAAATACTTCACTAAGCTTGATTACAACTTGAATAAAAGAGTTTAAACTAAAAGAGGAAGAGATTACAAGAATAATAAAGCTTACTACAATGAAAATGGTGAAGAAAATGTAAAAGCCCAACTTTTTCTCTCTATAACTTCATCTTCTACCTTGGAGTTTCTCTCTCTAAAAGCATGTAAAATTTGGAAATGGTGTAAGACCCTATGTGAACTGATTTCCAATCATTGGGGAGAGGTTGGACGCTTGAACAAGCAAAAACAGGCCAAGCATGCTCCTCCCATGCTTTCCTAACCACGTTTCTTCTCTCTCTCACTTGAAATCTAACTTCTTGTGTTAAGAAAGTATCATGGAGTGTCAAATATGTCAGGGTATGGTTTGGATAACAAGAGGTGGGCCCCAGAGTAGGTGGAGTCATGTGACAGGCACTCTAGAAAAACTGGACAAAACCTATCGGTAGAACATAAAAAATCTATCGGTATGGAGCATGGCTGCAGTAGAAGAAATCTAGTAGAAACTTCTACTGGTAGAACTTTACAAACTTCTACTTGTAGGTTTTGTCTGCCTTCTACCGGTAGGTTTTGTTTGACTTTGTGATTTCCTTGGTTCCTTGAGGTCCCGAGCCATCTGTTAAGCATTCCCTTATTCCCTATTACCATTTAGGTCTTGCGGGGAGCTTAAAACATAACCTTGCTCATTCTTTACATATAATCACACGAATCTCCATTAATTGTGAGTTTGAAAGCATTTTCGCGATTTTCACCACAAAATAAGTAAAATGGATGCAACAGAGATACATGATATGCAATATTCTATACTCATCACACCCACCAACTTGAGATTTGCTAGTCACTAGCAAACTTTATTTACAAACTACACTACATAAAAGAAAACAACAATTCCATTCATGTTAACCAATTCACCTATCAGCAAAATACTCAAATCATAATGCAATTATGTAAATGAACTAGGGGCAAATTTAAACAAAAAAATGTGGTTCTTCCATTCATAACTCCATAAGGTTCAGTATAGAGTTCTTGAAACAAAAACAACCTGTTATCCTAGTGACTTTTCTACTAGGCCGACCAACCTAACACTAAACCACTTATGTGCAATCTACCAAAAACAACAAACTAAGAGTGGTATCTTTACTCCTCTACATCATCATCCAACCCTTCATCACCGAACTCCTCCTCGTCATCACCAGACTTCTCATCAACGGACTCCTCCATCTCTACGACAGTAGAGCCTATGGGGTTAGAAGTGGATGGGCCGGAGGTGGACGGTGGTCACAATGTGGGGAGAGGCTCTCCTGAGAAAGTCCTCTCAAAGATCTTAGAGACCATCAGCATCAATAACTGCATAGTCCCGCCAAAGTCATCCAACCGTCCCTCTATTGCACTAAGGCGCTGGAAAACCGAATGAGGTGGACGAATAGTGGGTGGTGCGGGGGTAGAAGGTCTTGCTGTAGATGGCTCATCTCTAGGTGGCCTCTAGGATGACCCTTCGGTCATAGCCGAGACCTCTTCACACTCCGGCAGAAGGGTCACATCAAAAGGGCTACCCTTGACTTTGTTATGGAGGCAGATTTTTGTGACAAGGTTGGAATACGAGAGATTCGCCTTCGGCTTACTTGCCTGGGCATACTCCTTCATCACCTCCCAAATCATGAGAGCGATATCCATCCTCTTGCCCATCATGAAAGCATAGATAAGGGCTAACTTCTTTTCTCCTGGAGTCTTCTCTGTTCCCCAAGGTAGAAAATTGTAATGTAAAACCTTGTTCATTACCCCATAAGAGTACTTGAGTGCCCCAACTGGATTTTTCCTTTAAATTGTGTTGGGTCATCATACATTAAGCTTGCATACTCCTGATTGATTTTCGCCCTTAGGTGTTGTACGGATAGACCGGGGCATTGGGAGGTGGTCTTTGGTAATGAAGTGCATCCGCAATGACTCCCGGTGTGATCTCTATTCCCTTCTGTCTCACACTGGTTTTTAACAAGAAAACATCCTCATCCACCACCTTCAACTTTTGGTAGAACTCCCTACATATGGGGTGGACAAAATGATGCAATGCAATCTGATCCGTTGAACATAAATGGAGATCCTATGACTCGGGTCAAAACGAAAAGGATTAAGGAAGCATTGAACGGGCTGATTCAAGACGTATGGGCTGATTGTGCAAGTTCAAGCATGAAGAGTGCTGTTGGAGGCTTTTCTACCATGGCATGCGTGGGCTTTAATGGGAAAAGGCCTCAAGTTTATTTAAATATAATTCAAGTCCAACAAACCTGATTAAGTGGTTGTATGGGCTGATTTAGATTATTTAGGGATTTTGGGCTGATTACTTGTTTTAAGCCCAACTTTAGTTATTCCTATTTAGATTAGGATTTGTTTCCTTAGCAGATTAGGAACTTTCCTTGTAATGGCCAGCCTTATAAATAGGCGTTTAATCAATGAAAAGGGGCAGATCATTATTTAGCAAATTTGAGAGTATTTTCTTAGGATATGTTGTTAGTGCTAAGGGCATTGAGGTTGATGAGAAGGTTAAGGCTATTCGAGAATGGCCTACACCTAAAACCATTACTGAGGTACGTAGCTTTCATGGTCTTACTAGTTTTTATCGAAGGTTTGTAAATAATTTTAGCACCATAGTTGCACTATTGACTGAAATTGTTAAGAAAAGCGTAGGTTTTAAATGGGGAAAGGACCAAGAAGTTGCTTTTAATTTGATTAAAGAAAAACTTAGTTCTGCACCTTTACTTGCTTTGCCTGACTTTTCTCAAACTTTTGAAGTTGAGTGTGATGCCTTAGGTATTGGGATTGGAGTTGTTTTAATGCAGGGAGGTCGTCATTTAGCTTATTTTAGTGAGAAGCTAAATGGGGCAGCCATGAATTACCCGACTAATGATAAGGAGCTTTATGCATTGGTGAGGGCGTTAGAGACTTGACAACATTATTTTAGCCCAAGGAGTTTGTCATCCACACTAATCATGAGTCTTTGAAACATTTGAAAGGTCAAAGTAAGCTGAATAAATGCCATGCTAAATGGGTTGAATTCATTGAGACCTTTCCTTATGTTATCAAATACAAGCTGGGGAAAGAGAATGTGGTTGCTGATGCTTTATCTCGTAGGTATGCTTTAGTTTCCACTTTAAATGCAAAGTTGCTTGGTTTTGAGTACATTAAAGATTTATATGCTATTGATTATGATTTTGCTAATGTGTTGGATGCTTGTGAGAGTTCAGGTTTTGGTAAGTTTTATAGGCATGATGGGTTCTTGTTTCGAGAGAATCGATTATGTGTGCCTAATTGTTCGTTGCGTGAGTTATTAGTTAGAGAAGCACATGGGGGTGGTTTAATGGGACACTTCGGTGTTAGGAAAACCTTAGATGTGTTAGTTGAACACTTTTTATGTCCACATATGAAACGGGATGTTGAGCGAAGTTGAGAGAAATGTGTTGCTTGTAAAAATGCTAAGTCTAAGGTTCAGCCCCATGGTTTGTATAATCCCTTAACGTATACCTAGTTCACCTTGGGTAGATATTTCGATGTATTTTGTGTTAGGTTTACCAAGGACAAAACGGGGATGAGATTCAGTGTTCGTTGTTGTTGACAGGTTTTCAAAGATGCCACATTTCATTCTGTGTCATACGGTCAATGATGCTAGCAATGTAGCTGATTTGTTCCTTAGATAGGTGGTGCACTTACATGGAGTGCCTCGGAGCATTGTGTTTGATTGTGGTGCTAAGTTTTTGAGCTATTTTTGGAAGACGTTGTGGGGGTAAGCTTGGTACTAAATTACTCTTTTCTACTACTTGCCATCCACAAATAGATGGGAAAACTGAGGTAACTAATTGTACTCTTTCAACTTTATTGCATGCTGTCAATGGTAAGAATTTGAAAACTTGGGAGGATTGTTTTCCTCATGTCGAAATTGCTTATAATTGTAGTGTGCATTCTGCTACTAATTATTCCCCTTTTGAAATTGTCTATGGTTTTAATCCTTTAACTCCATTAGATTTGATGCCTTTGCCTGTTGATGAGTGTGCTAATTTAGATGGAGAACGAAAGGCTGAATTGGTGAAGCAAATGCTTGAGAAAGTTAGATTGCACATCGAGAGGCGAACGAAGCAATATGCTACTCAAGCTAATAAGGGGTGTAAGAAGGTGGTTTTGGAGCTTGGAGATTGGGTTTGTGTGGATATGTGAAAGGAGCGCTTTCCCGCACAAAGGCATTCTAAGTTGCAGCCTAGAGGAGGTGGGCCTTTTCAAGTGGTGGCATAGATAAATGTTAACGCTTACAAACTAGATCTTCCTGGTGAGTATATTGTTAGTGCTACTTTTAATTTTACTGATCTTTCTCCTTTTATTGGAGATGACGAAGATTTGAGGACGCATCCTTTTGAGGAGAGGGGGAATGATGCAATGCAATCTGATCCGTTGAGCATAAATGGAGGTCCTATGACTCGGGCGAAAGCGAAAAGGATGAAGGTAGCATTGAATGAGCTGATTCAAGACATATGGGCTAATTGTGCAAGTTAAAGCATGAAGAGTGCGTTTGGAGGCTTTTCTACCATGGAATGCGTGGGTTTTAAGGGGAAAAGGCCTCAAGTTTATTTTAAATTCAAGTCCAACAAACCAGATTAAGTGGCTATATGGGTTGATTTAGGTTATTTAAGGATTTTAGGCTGATTGCTTGTTTTAAGCCCAACTTTTTTGATTCCTATTTAGATTAAGATTTGTTTCCTTAGTAGATTAGGATTTGTTTTAGGGCTTTATATACACACATAAGACCTTGTAAAAGACGGAATATATTTTTTATGAGTATTGTGAGGTTTCTACCTTATTGTTCTTCCAAGAATTATTTCAAGATCTTATCAAGAATTAATCTTTCTTGTGGCATTCATCGACTTATCGCTCAATCTTGAGTGTGGCGTCTTTCTCTTAAACTTTTAACCTTGGGTTCTTATAATCTGGTTTGTGAACCTTGTTGGGAGTCTTCAATCAATTTGCCTATGGGTTCTTGAATTCGTTCAAGGGTTCCCATCACATAGCCCCCTATGAGTTTGAACCAAACATCAAAGCCATGCCCCTCTATCACTCGAACCACTTCATCATTTAGCCCCAGGGTGGGTCTATCCGCATGCCACTTGCACGTCATATTTTTCTCCTTTACGCTCTTCATGCGAGCATCATTCTTTTGCTTTTTTTGTCTTTCCCCACCACTAGGGCTTGCCCCAGTAGTCCTCTTGCGGGATCCCATTCTCGTGAGTGGTGGAGAACCAAGCCCCGATTGTTTGGTTTGTGTCATGAGAATAAAAAATGCCCCCAGTGCAACAAAGGGCAACAACCAAATCCATAGTTCATCAAAAAGATCAAATGAAGTGCAAGAAGACTTTCCCAATCGAGCCATTGCTTTGAATTACAAGCTTTGAGTGAGAATTTTGGGCTTTGATGGCTTCGGAAAGCTTTGTGGAGGAAAATAGGGTTTTTGTGGGAGAAATTCAAAAGGATGAGAATAAAGCACTATGAATCAAAACTTTGAGGAAGATAATCAAGAGATTTGATGAGTGCCAAGAAGTTCCTTGAGTATTTGAAAGGTTTTGAGGGAGAGAGGAAGGTTTTTAAGGATGAGAGGAGTGAAGAATGTGAAGGGTTTCCCTGAAAATCTTGAATTAAAACCCTCATTTTTGAATTTTTGGGCAGAACTTACAGGTAGAACGTCACAAACCTACCAATAGAACAGTGCACTGGAAAAAATCTACCTGTAGGTTTCTCTTTTGCAAAAAAATTTCATGTGCCCACTTTTTCACCTCCACTCCAAGTTTATTCAACCCCCACACATTCTAATGGCCTACTTACAACCTCTACTCCACAAAAAACATGGTTGTTGCTTGTGAACCACAAAATGTGTGACCATGCCCAAATTAATTTACGAAATTGCAATGTGATTTGAGTTGTTATATTTCATAACACATGACATGGAATTCTAAGTTCGACAAACAAAATAAGCACCCAATATATCAAGCACAAATTGAAATACAAAAGGCATTCCTATTCCTTCTCATATCTAAAGTTTGGGCAATATTCCCCTATCCAACAAGCACAGGGTTGCCTAATGATATTTTTCAAACACCCGAACTAAGCACACATGAGTTTCATCATGGTTCTAAATGTTATTCTCGAGTATACACCTACACATTTGCTTTCAAACTTGTGTGTGTGTGTGTGAAATTGAACATGTAATTTAAGCATTTACTCAACGAAATCCACATTCACTTGGCTATGCAAATTCAGTTATGATGCAAAACTCACCAAGGGTTTCTCTCAAAAATGAATAACTCTATGATTATCCTGGTATGCTCTCCATGTGTATATGTGAGATAGAATCTTAGGCGCAAACCAAAATGCTCACATATAATTCAAAAATGATGTGCATGCATAATAATTGAAATGACCTTAGCATAATCTCATGAATGGAATATTAGGGCACTAGATAGCAAAACAAACTTTTCTTTTCCATTTGACGTGTGCTCTCACCATGCTTTCTCTAGATCATTTAGGGCCTTCATCTGTTGTAATGAGGCCTTGGAGTGATAATTGGGTTGAGTGAAATGAAGGGTAGAGGGAGACAAAAAGGGTTATTCCAAGGACATGACCTTTCTTATGAAAAATCTCCTTCTTGTGGAATTTTTAGCTTTACAACTTCACTTCACTTTTTGTTTCTTTTCTTCTTCTTTCCTCAACAATTTTCATTTCCTTTTTCTTTCTTTTCTTTTTTCAACCCCCTTTTCTCCTTTTTCTTTAATTTTTCTCTTCTTTTCCATTCTAAAATTTTAATTCAGCACCATTTATCCCTGTTTGGGTTTCCTCACCACATTTTCTTTCCTTGATGATCAATCATAGTCAGCTCAAAACAACCAAGGTGTGGTAATTTTAATCATTTTGCATTGGCCTGGTCAATCATGCGGGCATGGAAATGAATTTTCAATTAAGGCTCTATCACGACACTAGGGATAGATTTTTCACAAGAAAAAGGCTAAGGCTCAAAGCAATTCGAAGATGGCCTAAGATCATCTCTACCTAAGCATGGGGAGGCATGTTAGTATTTTAAGACAAAGTTAGTCAACTTTCCACATGCACTCTAACCGAAGCAAGCATAATGACATTATTGAATAGATTTTTGAATTTGAAAAATTGTTCCTTTGAGTAAATGTAAGTTCTCTCCAAAAAGTATTGGCACTAAAGCTCAAACGGGTACTTATTTCATCTCCACTATGCATGTCAAGCTCTAAAATGTGGATCTAATCCGTAAATTGTTGAAATCACACATTCAAGGTGCACTATGGTTGAGTTCGAAAGAAAGTACATATGTGATACTCTGGCATAGGATAAACTTCTATGATGTGCTCATGTATTCAAAGTTGCAAATGAAATCAAACTATCGCTAGACCCATAACACTTTGAATAGGGGAATATGGTTCAACATTCAGATATTTTTCACAAAATTTTTTAAAAAATTTCACATAGGCATATTGGGGCATAAAAACATTGAATGTCAACTTGAGACTAGGTAGGGGAACATAGGAAGTTGAAGTTAAATGAATTAGAAGAAATTCATAGAGATGTATATGAATGCTCTAGAATTCACAAAGAAAGGGCAAAAAATTTCCATGACATATCCATCTTGAGAAAGACATTCGAGCCTGACCAAAAAGTGCTCTTATAAAATTCTCGCCTCTCCATTTTTCAAGAAAAACTCCAATCAAGATTTCCTAACACCAAAGTGTCCCATTAAACCACCCCCATGTCCTTCTCTAACTAATAACTCACATCGAACAATTAGGCACACACAATCGATTCTCTCGAAACAAGAACCCATCATGCCTATAAAACTTACCAAAACCCGAACTCTCACAAGCATCAAACACATTACCAAAGTTAGAATCAATAGGATGTAAATCCTTAATATACTCAAAACCAAGCAACTTTGCATTTAAAGTGGAAACTAAAGCATACCTTCAAGATAAAGCATTAGCAACCACATTCTCTTTCTCCATCTTGTATTTGATAACGTATGGGAATTTCTCCATCATAAACTTTTAATTATTTAATCTAGTTCAAGTCGAGACTCGATCATCACATGTCTACCCAAGGCGAACTAGGTATAGGTAAGGGATTATACAAACCATGGGGCTGAACCTTAGACTTAGCCTTTTTACAAGCAACACATTTCTCACAAATTTGCTAAACATCCCGTTTCATATGTGGTTAGAAAAAGTGTTCAACTAACACATATAAGGTTTTCCTAACACCAAAGTGTCCCATTAAACCACCCCCATGTCCTTCTCTAACTAATAACTCACATCGAACAATTAGGCACACACAATCGATTCTCTCGAAACAAGAACCCATCATGCCTATAAAACTTACCAAAACCCGAACTCTCACAAGCATCAAACACATTACCAAAGTTAGAATCAATAGGATGTAAATCCTTAATATACTCAAAACCAAGCAACTTTGCATTTAAAGTGGAAACTAAAGCATACCTTCAAGATAAAGCATTAGCAACCACATTCTCTTTCTCCATCTTGTATTTGATAACGTATGGGAATTTCTCCATCATAAACTTTTAATTATTTAATCTAGTTCAAGTCGAGACTCGATCATCACATGTCTACCCAAGGCGAACTAGGTATAGGTAAGGGATTATACAAACCATGGGGCTGAACCTTAGACTTAGCCTTTTTACAAGCAACACATTTCTCACAAATTTGCTAAACATCCCGTTTCATATGTGGTTAGAAAAAGTGTTCAACTAACACATATAAGGTTTTCCTAACACCAAAGTGTCCCATTAAACCACCCCCATGTCCTTCTCTAACTAATAACTCACATCGAACAATTAGGCACACACAATCGATTCTCTCGAAACAAGAACCCATCATGCCTATAAAACTTACCAAAACCCGAACTCTCACAAGCATCAAACACATTACCAAAGTTAGAATCAATAGGATGTAAATCCTTAATATACTCAAAACCAAGCAACTTTGCATTTAAAGTGGAAACTAAAGCATACCTTCAAGATAAAGCATTAGCAACCACATTCTCTTTCTCCATCTTGTATTTGATAACGTATGGGAATGTCTTAATGAATTCAACCCATTTAGCATGGCGTTTATTCAGTTTACCTTGACCTTTCAAATGTTTCAAAGACTCATGATCAGTGTGGATGACAAACTCCTTGGGCCAAAGATAGTGTTCCCGAGTTTGTAACGCCTTCACCAATGCATAAAGCTCCTTATCATAAGTCGGGTAATTTAAGGCCGCCCCAGTTAGCTTCTCACTGAAATAAGCTAAAGGACGACCTCCCTGCATTAAAATAGCTCCAATTCCAATACCTGAGACATCACACTCAACTTCAAAAGTTTGCGAAAAGTTAGGCAAAGTAGGTGAAGGTGCAGAACTAAGTTTTTCTTTAATCAAATTAAAAGCAACTTCTTGGTTCCTTCCCCATTTAAAACCTATGCTTTTCTTAATGATTTTAGTCAATGGTTTAGCTATGGTGCTAAAATCCTTTGCAAACCTTCTATAAAAACTAGCAAGACCATGAAAGCTACGTACCTTAGTAATGGTTTTAGGCATAGGCCATTCTTGAATAGCCTTAACCTTCTCCCCTTCAACCTCAATGCCCTTAGCACTAACAACATATCCTAAGAAAACAATCTGACTAGCGCAAAATGAACATTTCTTGATGTTAGCAAATAACTGAGCATTACGCAAAAAACATAACACAAGCCTCAAATGTTCAACATGCTCATCTACGCTCATACTATAAATCAAGATATCATCGAAATAAATGACACTGAATTTACCAATAAAAGCACGCAAAACATGGTTCATTAGACGCATAAATGTGCTAGGTGCATTGGTTAAGCCAAAAGGCATTACCAGCCATTCATATAAACCATATTTAGTCTTAAATGCAGTTTTCCATTCATCACCTTCTCTCATCCTAATTTGATGGTAACCAGATTTTAGATCAATTTTACTAAACAAACAAGCGCCACGCAATTCATCTAACATGTCATCAAGTCTAGGAATGGGATGACGATACTTTACCGTTATTTTATTCACGGCACAACAATCGGTGCACATCCTCCAAGTCCCATCCTTTTTAGGCACAAGTAACACTGGAACTACATAAAGACTCAAGCTCTCCCTCCCATGACCCTTCGACATCAGCTCTTTAACTTG